ACATCAAGTCTCCAACTACAAACTGATTTAGCATATTTTAAGTTTACAAATCTAGTGATACAATAAGCCATTATTGCTTCAGGTTTTGTAATTCAGAGATTTCTTTATCATCTACTGGAGGGTGAAAAAAACCCAGAGTGTCTTGCTATGAAATAACTCATCATACTTGTGATGAGAACCTTTATATTCATTATTGTCTAATCACATATCAGCACCTCAACAGCTACAATCCACTGTCCTCCACAAGCACTTTAAGCAAGGAAACAGACCTTAGGATCTTGGATTTGGGGCCCAGTTAAATCTCAAAGCCAAGAAATATCAATATGAACTTCATGAGAAACAGATAAACAAGAATGTGGCTGAAGCTGCCTGTAGTAGCATGTTTTGAAAGATTTAAATAGTTCCCCATGAAAACAGGGATTCAGTGACTCAGGAACTCTGATTCACCCATGTCCTCCCAGTTATCACCACAACCATAAGAGAGTAACCTGTGACATTTCTATTCATTACATACCTCCCAAGAGTTTTATTTAAGAGCTCTGACAGGTATACTGACAGGAAGGACAGAGGCTACACCCTCCTGCTCAGCAAGGTCAGGAGAAAGCTGCAGCTCAGCTTTGCTACAAGGAACACAGAGCAAGAAGCTGCTTTATGTCCACACTACCCCCTGCAAGAACACAGGACTCTGTCACGACCTTGCTCTACATTAGTGTCTCTGTCATCCCTCAATAAAACCACTGCAGTAACCTTCACTCAGAAGGCTTCTACTCTTTGGGTTGGGTAATTTATGTGAACATTGAGAATAACCAAAATTGTAACAGCAAATAGTGATGACTAATAATGAAATATATGAAATAGTACAGGAATTCTGCCTAGCAATTTTAACCATTTCCTAGAAGGTAAAGGCTGGAAAAATGTTTTGATGGCATCAAGTGATTACACCAGAAGGTCTTCTGCAATTTATTCAAAGGTAGTAGTATCAGACTGGGAAAAAGACCATCAGATACTAGAAGACCCTAACAAAGGATGTTCTCCAGTTTCTTTTCCTTGAAGGAAAGTAATCAAGAGGGGCAAAAGGAGAATGATACAAAGTGAATTCAAATGAACTATATGACTTACCTTGAAAAACCAGCAGCACACTTCTGCTCACAAATTTTAGTCACAACTTCTTGTTTGCTTGAGTGTATTTAGAACTTTAGCAGGTATGAGTAATTAAAATAATGCAACTACTGGTATAGTTCTGTGGTTAAATTATGCCAATCTACAACTGCACTGCCACCAAATGGGATGGACCAACACTAAGTACAGTTGTGTCAGATTGTATACACACTAGCAAGCACCTCCAGCTCAGGACAAAGTTCTGTGAAACAGCTAAGCCAATGTAAAAGTTGCCAGCTGCCCTAAGGGAGGTCTCACTCTCCACTGCCTTCCTCTAGCCTTGCTTCTGGCAGTGAAGTTTCCTCTCTCTACTCCCCACAAGCTTTAGGAGGTTTCACAGCCACCGAGATGCTGACACAACTCACTAACCTGGCAGAGAACCATCCAGTCTCCTCTGCCAGGGCACCCAGCACACTGAAGGATCTAACAGCACACGTCACAGTCACCAAAAAACCCGTGGGAGAGGCAGCCAGCGACAAACTGGCAGCAGAGGCAGGAGGAAAGGAGGGAAGAACAGGAACTCCAACTTCTGCCAAGGGTAAGCCATTCAACCAACCTTCCTTCTCCAACTTCCTCTACATCCCAGACACCACAGGATTGCTAAAGCTGATACAAAGAGGAGGCGTGAACATACAGCCAGAGAGCAGAGGAAGAGCAGCACCATTCCCCTCCACATCCAGAGCTCACCACAGAGCCACAGGCGCTTGAGATATGAGCTTGCCATGGGACAGGACGGACACAGCAGTGACACATCATGTCACGGAGCTGTTTGTGTCTCCAACACCAGGCACAGAAACTGGGTGAATGTAGGCACAGACCAGCCACACATCCCAAAGAGAGGCACAGTTATGTTGATTAGATACAACGGTGTAAAATACATATATAGAATGGGTAAAAACATACGAAAAGACTGAGGGAGATGTTGCCTGACATAAGCAGAAATAACCCTACAGCAACGATAGACAACTGGTCACTGAACTGGGGAAAAACAAAGGAGTGCGTGCCTTGCCCTGACAACAGGAAGTAAGACGATAGCGAGCCTGTTTGCTACTGGCACCCCAACAGTGGCCACACCGACCAGACGCAGGCAGGAAACGCTGGGAACTGAAGTGTGAGCACAACTCTGAAGAAGCGAAGACAGAGCACCACAGAGCTCACCCTCCCGAGCCTGAGTCTCAGCTGACATCGCTTCGGCTGACCAGCATTCCCTGCACCAGCCCGCCACATTCACCCCCACCTGCTCAAAGGCGTGACCCCAGCACGGCTCCCTGGGCCCGGACCCCGCTCCCCGCCCAGCCAGCCCCACGTACCCAAACGCTGCCCCTCTTCCCTGCACTTCCCAACGCCCGTGCCCTCCTCCCCAGAGCCGCACACCGCGGCAGCACACACACAGCCCCTGCTGCCCACAGCCCGGCAGCACCTGTCACCGCCAGCGCCCGCACCGCCCGGCCCGCCCCGCACACCCCCGGCCCCGCTTCCTGTCCCGCGGCACGGCCCCGGCCCGGCCCTTCTCGGCGGCACCTGAAGCGCGGCGAGTCCTTCAGGCACTCCTCGAAGTCCACGGTCACCTTCATGGTGGCGGGGCGCGCCGCTGCCTCCGCTGCTGCGGCTGCTGGCGGTGCTGGCGCGGCGAACCCGGGGCGAGGCGAGACCGGGCCGGGGCCGGCGGGCGGGCGGGC